TTTTTTTTTTTCTTTTTCTTTTTTGTTTTGTTTTGTTTTTCTGTTGTTTTTGTTTGTAATATTTTATTTTCTTTTGGGGTAACTTTTGATTTACAGGAAATTAAAATCTTAAAGGTACAGAAAATTTGCAAAAATAGTAAGAGAGCTCTCATCTACCCTGCACTCAGCTCTCCTCATTGTACATTTCTCACAGCTGAGAAATTAACCTTGCTATATTACTATTAAGGAAAGCCAGACTTTGTTCAGATTTCTTCAGTTTTTCCCACTATGTCCTTTTTCTGTCCCAGGATCCCACTCAGCATTTAGTTGTTATATTTCCTCTGGTCTGTGACAGCGTCTCAGTCTTTCCTTGTTTTTCGTGACCTTGGTGTTTTATAGAATGTGTCTCATTTTGGGCTTATCAGGTATTTTCCCATTGTTAGCCTGGGGTTTGGAGTTGTGGGGAAGAAGAACCACATTGGTGAGCAGCCCTTGTCTTCCTTGAATACTATTAGGAGTATGTGATAGCAACCGAGACTTCTCACTGTGGTGTTGACCTTGATCTGTCGGTCAAGGTGGGGTCTACCAGGTTTCTCTACTAGAAAGTTACTATTTTTCTCCTTCTCATACTCTATCCTTTGGAAGCTTGGAGGGTTCTTTTTAATGTGATTGTTTGAGTAAGTCATATTCATATGTCCACAGAACACCAAGTTAAAAAATACATATGTAAAAGATGGAGAGAGAGAAGCCTCACTTCCTGCCTGGGAGCTCCTCCAGCTACCCACCGCCCATAGCTAACCAGACTTGAGAGTTTCCCGTGCCTTCCCTCAGTTCTCCGTGCAAATTGAAGCAAATGTGGATGTGTCTTATTCTTCCCTCCCCCGTACACAGTTTTACACCTTGTTTTGCACAGTGACCTTGTTAAATTAAGATCTCTAAGAAATACCATTAAGGATCAGCACATGGAGAGCTTGCTGCTTTGTTTCTTTTCCCCCCTCAAGCTACAATTTACATACAGGAAAATCACC